AATCTAACCTACAAACTGTTTTAAAACGTAATGAAAGAGGTATAAGCCCAAAATATAACCATTAATGAGGTTGACACGATGTTGTTTCCTACACATGTGTCTACATGTTTATTAATTTCTATTTTGCTGTTTTTGTGTTTCATATTTTGGAGCCAAATTTTTTTTATTCAGCTCTCAGACATTCTCGTAGGCCCTGGGCATTCTGCCCACAATGCCTAATGGAGAAAACGGCCCTGCACACAAAACCCAGAGTGAAAAAGACCAATGAAATTAAGTAAAGGTGTCAGTGTATATGGTTTCCAGATAATGCTGAGAGTTCTTTTCCACTCTATGCAAAATTCTTATAGAACCAGAGAGAGCGCCATGCACTCAAAGGGAACAGCATATGTGCCAGCAATAAAGTATTTGCATATTTGGGTATGGTAAGAAACACAAACAGGGCCCACAGTTCAAAACAAAATCTGAGAAAGGAAAGAAAAACAAGGTGAGAGGCACCCATTTTTGAAGCACCTGCTCTGCTAAGCTCTGTGTCCAGTCATTTCTATATACCGGTTCATTTAATTCTCTCCCTGCGAGGGAGTTATGATTATTCCCATTTTACGGATGAAGGAACCAAAGCCTAAAGAAGTTCAATAACTTGCCAAGGGCTGTGCAGAGGAGGAAACAGAATTGGGAGTCAGCCACATCCCTAAGCCCGCACTCTTTTCACAATGCTCATGCTGTCTTCTTGTTTCCTAAAGGGCTGAGGACTATGTGATTTTCTTTCTTTCTCTAATCACTGATTTAATCAGTGATGAAGGTCACTGAATGTGGATGGGACGCAAGAACGTGGGTAGAGGCTGGAGTTTCCCTGAGAGCAAAGCTGAAGTGATGGAAGGCAGAATTCACTGCTTTTCTCTTTTTTTTTTCCTTAACTGATTCATTAGCAGAAAAAACTGTGGTGGATAAAACTTCTGAAGCCCACGGTCTGTTAGCAACCTCAAGGGAATCTTTAACTACGGAAAGTCCCGAATCACAATCAGATTGGAACATATCCAACCCCTTTCATGGTCCATTCGCAGTGGTTCTCGAAGTGTAGTCCTGGACTACTTCCCCCAGAACTATCAAGGAGCTTACTGAACTGCAGACTCCTGGGCCCTAGGATTCGACTCTCTGGGGAAAGGCCCAGGAATCTGCATTTCCCCTCACCTTCCCTACCTCTCTGGGTGAGTCTTATGTTCTCTAAAATTTTAAAACCACACTTTCATGGTTCAAAACAAGATTCCATTGCTGCCTCTTTGTCTTCTTTAATAGCTTTTAAGGACCATAGCTTAAACTACCAGGAATGTCCAGTTCTGGGTTCACCACCATTTTACAGATGGGAAATTAAGAGAAAAATGGGTACAGAGCTATTTAGCAAGTCAGTAGAACTGATACAATGAGAACTCAAAAAATATAAAAAACCCCACCTGATCCCCACTGTACTGGGATTAACTCTTGGGGCCTCGGCTTTAGTTGTTAGTGTAATTCTCACCCACTGAGAAGATCCCTACACTGAAGGAGATGGTGGCAGAAGTTTTTAAAGCAGCTATTACCTAGAAGGTTAAAATCACCTCTTAGCAGCCAGGTCATCACCGCTATGAAGGAAGGAAAGAAGAAAAGAGGGAGGGAGAGAAGGAGGGAAGGAAGGAAGGAGGCAGAGAGAGAACGGGAAAGAAAGGGTGAGACCAAGAGCAAGAGCAAAAGCAAGAGTGAGAGAGTGGGGGGGCCGGCCCAGTGTTGTAGTGGTTAAGTTCTCACACTCCGCTTCAGTGGCCCGGAGTTTGCGGGTTCGGATCTCAAGCACACACTTAGCACCACTCATCAAACTCCACTGTGGCAGCATCCCACAAAAAATAGAGGAGGATTGGCACAGATGTTAGCTCAGCGACAATCTTCCTCAAGTAAAAAGAGGAAGATTGGCAACAGATGTTAGCTCAGTGACAACCTTCTTAAAAAAAAAAAGAGTGAGAAAGAGAGGGAGGAGTGGGGGTGAGAGGGAGAGAGAAGAGAGGAAGGAAGGAAGAGTGGGAGAGGAAAGAAAGGAAGAGGGCAAACACACTCCCATGGGGGTGGGAGTCAATGGTGTTCAGTGGACAGGATGGAGGCAGGCAACCTAGAGAACCAGAGGCACTAAGGTGGTATTGAAGGTGATGTCAGGATATCCTGCAGAACACTTGGTGTTTGGCGTGAAGAGCCTGGACCATTCCCTCCTGCCCTCCCCCTTCTTGCCATGTTACCACCTCAGACCCTGACTGCTCAAAGCTCAGCATCCAGCATCATCTACTCCTTAGCTCTTGGAAAGTCTCCCCCAGATCTGGCTGCAACCCCTGGAAGGGCCGGCAGAGGTCCTTTTCAGAAGGTGGCTTCCTCCCACGGGAATCACCTACCTTTTGCTAAACGTAAAATATTCCACTGACTTTAGAATTAAACAAACAAACAAAACATTGATTTGAGCACCCCAGGGTAACCCCAGCACCCCAACATCAATTCAAGGGAAGGTGTGGGCTAAGTCTTTCCTCTCCAAAAGGATGGAGAGTCAAGGAGCAAATCTGCCAATAAGATGGGAAGAAGTCTGAAGTTTTAGACTTTTCAGACTTGGAACTAAAAAGGTTGAGTCTAAAAAGGAAAACATGTCACCTTCCTGCCAAAATAAACTGTGATGAAAGTCTAGACCCGACCACCTTTCAGCCAAGCATTTCCTGTTCTGGCCGCCTCCATCTGCCTCACACTAGCTCAGAGGAGAGAGAGCTATTTTTAAGGTGCAAACAACCAGGACTAAGAATGAGAGAAGTTATGTATTTATAGTTACACCTTTTAACTGTTCTCTTCTCCCTCTGGAGATAGAGGCTGGATTTGGCTTTCCCTTTGAATCAGACATAACTGGGGGAAGAAGGACTTTGAAAGGTCATGGTGAAGTCTATAGCCTCTAGACAGGGGTCATTGTCCTGACAATACAAGTGGGAAAGCCATTCACCACTTCTTGAAGAATTCCTCCTAACTTAGCTTATGCAACACATGGGCTCTTGAGAAGCGTTTTGTAAAACATACTTGTTGTATAAAAGGTGATTTGAAAATACAGTCATGTGTCGCTTAATGATAGGGTTGGGGATGCATTCTGAGAAATGCATCCTTAGGTGATTGCATTGTTGTGTGACCATCATAGAGTGCACTTACACAAGCCTAGATGGGATAGCCTACTACAAACCTAGGCTACATGGTACTAATCTTAGGGGACCACCATCGTTATATGTGGTCCATTGTTGACCTGAACGTCATTATGTGGTACATGAATGAACAGTCATGGTTTTGTTATTTAAGGAATTCAACAGTAAATCACCCCCCAGTTTTGTTTTTCAACAGAGGATTCCATTATCATGCAAATAAATATTCCCTAATTTACATGGGTTTGTAAATTCAGACTTTGGATTCGATTTAGGGCAGGACACATGTATAGGGAGTACTCTAAGAGCCAGCATGGTGGTCTAGTGATTAAGATCTGGCACTCTCACCACCACAACCTGGGGTTCGCTTCCAAGTCAGGGAACCATACCACCATCTGTTGGTTGTCACACTATGGTGGCTGTGTGTTGCTGTGATGCTGAAAGCTATGCCACCGGTATTTCAAATACCAGCAGGGTTACCCACAGTGGTTTCAGCAGAGATTCCAGGCTAAGACAGACTAGGAAGAAGGACCCGGCCACCCAATTCCAAAAGATTGGCCATGAAAACCCTGTGAATAGCAGCGGAGCACTGTCTGACATGGCGCTGGAAGGTGAGAGGATGGGGCAGAAACACGGGGCAGGGCTCCGCTCTGCTGTCCACAGGGTCCTGGGAGACGGAATCGAATCAATGGTACCAGCAACAAAAAAGCGTCAACAGCTCTTTCTGGTGTCTAACTGCATCTTTCCTCTTGTAAGTCAGGGATCTTTTCTTGTTCCATTAAATTATTCCATTCTTAATAGCAAACCATGCAGGACCCATTGTAGACTCTTGGAATTTGCCAGTAAATAAAAGAGAAAAGCCTTTCCTTGTAATGAGTCCAAAAGTATCATCTTGGTGTTGGCTATTACCCCCCATAAGTTTACTGACATTATTATCTTCCCAGCACTTATCCCCCCACCTGACATTACAGTGTCAGCTTCTGTCTCCCCACTACAATGTCCACATCATGAAGACTTTGCTCACTCTTTAATTCATCACTGTATTACAAGCACCAAAAATATACTAGATGCTTAAAATTTATTCAATTTATGAATTTCTATTTACCTCAAATTGTTACGGAATTTGGAATTATACAGACTGCTGAAGAGGTCCTCTCTTTCTTTAACATGATGCCCTCTTAAATATCCTAACTCCACTATTTTCACCCACTGCCTCAGTCATTATTATAGGAATTACTTGAAGGACAAAAGATTTCTAAATTCAGTAGGATCTGTATGTTTCAAATGAGTCAAACTTTAAGAACTTTACAGAACAAGTTGGTTGGCATGACCCACTTCCAGCTTCCTTTTTCCCTCTACTTCTGGAGGTTTCTTTGTGCAGCCAGGCCAATGGGGTCATGATTCAGCTTTTGGCAAAAGGAGTGTCCTTGCTAGATCATTGTGCTTGTACCAAATTTGGTGGCTTGTACCACTCAAGGAAGAAACATAAAAGACTGGAATCTATTTGGGCTTAGAACCTAGGTCTAAAAACAGATCTATCAGAAAGATGCAGAGAAACAACTTGATCCAGCATGACCCACAATGACAAAGGAACTTATAATGGCTGTGGATCAACAGTACTTGGCACGTGGTAGGAGTTAAAAAAAGTTTTGCTGACTGATGAATGGAAAAATGATGCAAAAATAATGCCCAAGCTAGGGAACTAGATATGCTTACTTCTTGGAAGTTTCAAGTTCTTATTTTGGGAACATTTTTATTGCTATGAGTGCAATGGAAAAAAATAAGCAGGAATAAAAATCCAGTGAGTCGCTCACTCACCTTTTTACTTAATTGGGGACCATTCGCCCCCCCAATGCCTCTCTGCACTGATGGTGGTACTTGATACACATCTTGTTCCTGGGTACCATGGCCAGTGGGTACCTGGTAAATTCCCTGATTTTGGTAGGAAGGTGGCACTTGGTAGATGGTGTCTCGAGAAGCACCCTGTGGGTTTGGTACTTGATAGAGCTTCTGTTGGCTGAAGGTCTGGTGCATCAGTCCAGGAGTGGGCTGGTCCTGGCTGGACGAGGTCTCCTGCACAGGGCCAATCAGAAGCTTCACCCGGTTGCCTGGGACAATGCCTTGCCGACCATGTAAGGAACAGAGCCACCATCCTTCCAGTCCTCCTGTGTTCTGCTCTATGACAGTCAGGATGTCTCCCTTGCGAAAGGCCAGTTCCTCAGCACACTCTGGGACATTGTCGTATAAGGCTCTTGCCATAAGATTCTAGGAAGGAAAGAACAGAGGGAAATCAGGTTAGAATATTGCCTCAGTCTCTTTAACACCTGAAGTCCAGGCTCTTATGGAGAAGCGCACTTCCTGGAAAGAAGAGAAAAATAAATCTGAACAGCCGCCCATAAGGAGAAAAACAGATGGTGCAGACAAAAGACAGAAACATACATACTGTGTCTGCCACCAATGACATCAGACTGCCTCCTCAGAAAAGCCCAGAACACCACAAGAGTTCTTTCCTCCAGCAGTAGATGCTGTGCCAAGGAATTATGAGTAGCACTGTTAAAGAGTTAGAGAACCGTTCACTATATAAAACATTTTCTTCCTTTCCTTAAAACCAGCTTAAGGAATAAAAAGTTCCAAGATATTCAGCTAGTCTATAATGGATATTTCTCAATGTTTTTATATATTGGAGGTAAAAAGAGTCAAAGAAAATCTCATTTAACAAACAGTACAAATGGCATTTATATTTGGTGTTAAAATGGAAACAAAAGTACACTTATATATGCCTTGGCAGGGCTTAAAAATTCTCATTCTCAGTTGATCAAGAGGTCCTTGGATACAGGGAGAATCTACAAGCAAGCATTTCTACCACGATAATCAAGCACGGGGCACAGAGTGACAGTAATCTACCTCTCCAGATTTGATGGCGGGCAGCTACAAAGAATTTATCACACATAGGTAGAGGCCATCTCTGTCTTTTTTGGTCTTTTATTCATACCTTTCCTGAGGGCCTCCCTCACCCTGCCACTTTATAACCTACTTCTTGAATCTAGCCATTCACATCAGAAAGGCTGTGCCTTCCCCTTTCATGGGCCCAAAACACTTTCTCTCTTTGTATGAAGGCCCGTCTGGCACATTCAGTACTAAGCAGACAGCCAAAGTAGGCATTCAGCAGAGAGCGGGCAGGCAGTACGTGCTGACATTCTTGGAAGCCTTTCAAAGGCTCTGAAGATTTCATTTCTTGGCGTGAGTAATGTTTCGCAGCACGATGGCAGCCATCACCACATGCCTGCTCCTTCCCGGCACACAGAGTGGCCGGGGAATGCTGTAAATTCATCACAAGCACTCAGAAAACTCAACGTGATCCCTGTAGTGCTTCCCTAAAGTGGCTGGATGGACCTGAGTCATTGCGATGGTGATCATTTGTGGGAGAAAGGACTGCTGATCAGATGGAGCATGTTTGTGACTTTACATATTTGTGGAATTTTTGGCAGTTGTTGTTTGGACTTCTGCCCCCTGTTTGTTTCTCTAGAAATGTGGACTTGGTCTTTCAGCCGCGTGCTTTTCATTCCTTAGTAATTGACACACGTTAATCATCTCCCCCTGTACTGTGCCCCACAAGCACAGGTCCTGTGCCGTGTGCTGGTTCTCTACTACGGAGTGGCCGTGCTGTGTAAAGGATCTCCCCTCTGGTTGGTAGTTGGGAAGGGGTCCTACTTTGATCTGTTAACCAATTTCCTCTTGGTGCAACTACTTAACCTAAGGAAAGGAGATAAAGCCATAGAGGTCAGTACCCAGGAAGCCTGGTGATGCTCTTTAAGAATAAGGTTGAAGTCCTTGTTCTCGGCAGTTTTGAGATGCAGGAAGTCTATGACGTAGACGGGTGAGCAGTAAGAGAAGCTAAAGAGAAACTGAGGGGTTTGCGTTCCGGGTGAAGATTTTACTTAGTATTTATATTCTAGGAAGCTTTGGGTTCCTTCTGACAATTAAAAGTTCACATACATAAAAATCAGGCAGCATCCTTTCCTGGTTGAAGAACCATTTAAAGATGTGTCATAATCCTAAAATCTCCTCTGTTTCTCTTCTTCCATCTTTTGGGGTTTTGTAATTTAAAAGAAAAGTCCTAGAGTTACAGAAGACAAGATTCTGGTCCTTTGTACCAAAATGACCTGAAGGACATTGCTCCAACAGAGCAGTATTGTGATTATAGAGCAGGCAGAGAGCTGACCACTCTGGTCTCTGTCCCTTTCTCTGGGGCCCATTCAACAATTAGCAATGGCTGGTAAGGAAGCCCCAAGATGAAATCAGAAGTCATAGGGTTGGGGCCAGTTCTATGGCATCTGAGAGTGGACAACTGTGCAATTATATTGGCTACAAAGAAGGGAGAGAAGAGAAACAGAAAAAGGTAGAAAGGCAAAGAACTAGAGACCCACTCAGCATAAATGAGCTGGAGGCGTTCGGAGTTGGGCCACTGCCATGGAACTCCATGAGGCACTGAAGCAGAGCCCCGACCGTGCTTGATTAGACGCAGATAGAAAGCCCTGTGTGAGGGGTGTTCTGGATGTTCTTTGTCTCCTGTCCGAGTGACCCCCCCGCCACCTGGTAAACAGCATGCTAATGTTCCTAGACGTGCCTCAAGAGCTGCTTCTCTGGGAAAACACTCAGAGCCTATTGTCCTTGCTAACTGAGGAGGCGCCATGGGTGAGTTCCCTGACGAGCTGTCCATGACTTCCCAGCAGTCCTCCCAATGCCCACAGAGATCAGGACTGTGAAAGAGAGCTGGGCATGGCTGTTAGTGGCAGGCACCCCGGGGCTAGCCTGCCACCTCACACACTGACAGATATTCTCAGCCTTGGCTGAAAAGGAGTGAGTTATTTAATATCTGTGCATGCCACAGAGAGTCAATGTCTATACCCAGCCACTCTCCCAACAGAAGGTTACAGCCACAGAGACCTTTAGAGAACACCTGCTCCCAACCTCTCTGTCTTGCAGACTAGGAAACACATCTGGGGAGGCCTTCCTTTGCCTAAGGATACTCTGTTGGTGTTAGACATGAGAAGAGAACCGTGTTCTCTTGGTTCGATTCTCTTTCCAGAACTCTAAGCCACCTTAGCTCTCTCTACACATGTCTTCCTGACTGGGCTCAATTCCATTATACAGAATAGTTCTGAAGATGACAGTTCTACTTATCATGTCTTAGAATAAACAGATTCTTGGGAGCTGGGATCCTAGCTGTGTGACTTGGGCAGATTACCTCTCCCCTTTGTGCCTTAACTTCTGATCTGTAAAATGAGAATGCAGATAACAGCACATACCTTATGAGTTTGCTGCGAGGATGAGCTAATTCAAGTCAAGTACTCACACACTACTGGACACTTACACAGCTACCGTGGCTATTTACTGAATTTGCTGGATGGCTCTTTGGCCTTAGGCCTCAGTTCACCTCCTCTCAGTTCTCAGGCAAGAGTTGGTCCCATTCAAATGATGCTATTATATGCATTTTTATACATATCTGATATTTCTCTTGCTCACAATTACATTTCAGGAGAACTGTATCTCGTGGCAATATTTCTCTGAATTAATAATGAGTTCTGGGGCCGGCTCCGTGGCCGAGTGGTTAAGTTCGCGCGCTCCGCTGGGGCAGCCCAGGGTTCGGATCCTGGGTGCGAACATGGCACCGCTCGTCAGGCCACATTAAGGCGGCGTCCCACATCCCACAACTAGAAGGATGTGCAACTAAGATATACAACTGTGTACAGGGTGGGTTGGGGAGATAAAGGAGAAAAGAAAAAAAAAGATTGGTAACAGTTGTTAGCCCAGGTGCCAATCTTAAAAATAATAATAATAATAATAATGAGTTCTGGTGATTGCAACCTCATGTCAAGTATTTACCTACAAATGGTAATAATGAAACTATTGGTTGCGTTCAAGAAAACTTTTGAGACAAAATAATAATAATATTACTGGACAAATTATGGATAAATATCATTAGATTCCAGCAGAGTACAATCCATCAGAAAGTGAGAAAAAACATGGGTAACGAGCGCGGCTTTTGAAAACACTTAGTGTGTCGGAGCAAGAGTTTAGCAAAATTAATTACAGCCAGAACACAAACCGTCTCATTCAAAAGTGGACATGCAACTCATAAATAGGCAAATCAAGAGTTAACTCCCCCAGCTGGGAGGATGGTGGGGGGGCCCTCTCTTTCAGTGCAGAGGTGTGATTCCTTAAGGCCACAAAGTCAGAAGGTGATTATCTGAATATCTTAGAAAAACCCAGGAGAGGCAGTTTGTCTATTCAAGATCTACTCTTTCTCCTACCCTGTCTGGGATATTTATCTTCAGGGCAGGGAAGGTCAACATAGAAACAAACCAAGGAGAGATAAGAGAGCTATGTAATTCTATATCCACTTGGACGGTTAGCCGGAGAGACTGGCAGTTGGAAATGCAGCTAGAGCTTGGCAAAGCACCCAAACAGTCGGGGCCCAGAACTTGAAAGCCAAGGGAACTTTAAACAATTATAGTCCAACTCTCGCACTTTACAAATGAGAAAAATGAGACTCAAGAAGTTAATGATTGGCCAAGTCACCTGGCAAGAAGGTCAAAGAGCTGGGACAAGAATTCAGGCCTCCTGTCTCCAGCTCCAGAATTAGGACAGTATTTAATAAAGTCAAATACGTGTGCTACAAAAGCTGTGGTTATAATCAGGAGTGGAAATTGGCATTTAGAGTCATAAATCTTATTTGAGGGTCCCCTAACATTAGCAGCCTCTAGTACTAATCCTGATTCCAATCTTTCCTTTTTTTCCCTTTTTTTTTAATTGAGGTAACACTGGTTTATAACACTATAAAAATTTCAAGCGTATATCATTATATTTCCATTTCTGTGTAAGTTACGTCATGTTCACCACCCAAAGACTAATTACCATCCATCACTACACACATGAGCTCAGTCATCCCTTTCGCCCTCCTCCCTCCCCCTTTCTCCGCTGGTAACCACCAATCTAATCTCTGTGTTTGTTTGTTGTTGTTGTTATCTTCTATTTATGAGTGAGATCATATGGTATTTGACTTTCTCCCTCTGACTTTATTTCACTTAGCATAATACCCTCAAGGTCCACCCATGTTGTCACGAATGGCAAAAGTTCACCTTTTTATGGCTGTGTAGTATTCCATTGTGTATATATACCACATCTTCTTAATCCATTCATCCTTTGATGGGCACTTAGGTTGCTCCCAATTCTTGGCTATTGTGAATACCCAATCTTTCTTG